CCGTCCACAGCGAGAGCTCTGCTGCCTGAGGACGCAGCCCTGTGTGCTGGGGCGAGGCCGCGGCTGTGCTTCCAACCCCCAGGTGCTCGGGAAGATGCTGGCCTTCAGCACACGGTCCCGAGAGGAGGAACTGGCAGCTCGAGGCGCCGCCCAGAGTCACTCCATGTCCTCCTGCAGCTCCTGCTTGTGCAGGGCCTGCAGCCTGCAGACCACAGTCTGGTGGACGGTCTCCAGCCCCTCACTGTCCAGTTCCCGCAGCAGCAGCAGGATGGCCGTCAGGATGTTGTTCTAGGGGCACACAGGGTCACTGGCTGAGTGCCACGCCTCCCAGGTGGGCTGCCCACACCCGGACGCGTGGGCCTAGCCAGCAGCATGCGTGCATCTTGGCCGCACAGCCTTCAGGAGGGGGCTTTCCAGGCAACGCATGGAGACTCGGGAGGACTAAAGTCACAGCCGTGGCACTGGGAGGGTGCCCACCGCCTGCAGCAACTTCCTACAAACTGACTTACCTCCTGCTCCAAGCCCCGAGACCCAGAGAGGCTGAGTAACGGGCCCTCGGTCACACAGCTGCTCAGTGACAGGGCAGGGGCCAGAGCAGGCGCTGGGCAGTGTGCTCAGATGCGCACGTGCTCAGGTGTTTACGCACAGGCGTCCACATCTCTACACCCGCTTTCCACCTTCACTCGAGCAGGGCAGCGTTACAGTTTCTACTAGGAAACTTGGGGGAGGATTTTGCATGAAGGAGCTCCTTGAGCCGATCCTCCTTCTGGAGTGAGAAGACACAGCCGCGAGCTGGAGCGTGCGCACACACAGCCACATGACCATGTCCGCTCAGAAGCCTTCCCAGGGCACTGACCCCAGGCCACTGCGATGCCCCAAGGCTCCAGCTCCCTACAAACCTCACTGCCCCGGCCATCAGCACCTTGCACTCAGAGGCCTGCGGGGGCTCGCTGCCCCCTGGACCCCAGCCTGGCTAGATCCTCGAGGGCAGGGCCCTTCCGTTCTCTGCTTCTGCAGCAGACGTCCCGTTAACGGGTGGAATGACCTTTTGTCTTATGGAAAGCGCAGCTCTGAACCAGTGTTTTCAATCTCTGGTCCCCTCTCCTGTGCAGACACCCCACGTGCAAGTGGAGGGGGGGGAGCTTCAGGCCTCATCCCACCTACAGGGCAGACCTGCCACCAGGACGGTATCCACTTCGGGGCTCCTCCTGTAACATGTGCAGGGACCCTGAGCTGCCCCACGCACTACCTCCCTGAGGAGAGTGTGGTCCCGAGGGGACATGATGGGCTGGACAGGGCCGGTTGGGGAGACCGGCCTCAGGTCCAGCAACTGCTGCCTAGACTGGCCTTCAGCCTGTGGTCACAGCTGTCTGCAGCCCCGTGGTGACACCTCCAGGTGGGGCGGCCCGCCCCAGGACGGGGCCTCAATTCGCCCCCTCTGAACCTCCCATGAGCTCCACGTGCATTTCAAGTGGTCACTGAAATAACAGGTAAGTCCCAGCCCGTGGCTCTGGGCAGCCCCCCGGACCGTGGAGCCCCACCTGCATGAGACCACAGGGGGGTCCCAGCACCCAGCGGCTCTGGTCAGGCCGAGCCAACTGCTGCAGCAGAGGCTGGGGGGTCACGGCCCTCCAGAGCCCGGTTCTGCTCACACAGCCCCCCATCCCGCGTGACCAGGTGGCGAGGCCCCCTGTGCTCCCTGCCAATGACCCGCTTGGGCTTGGGCTCGGGAGCCCCTCCGGCTCAGGAACTGGAGCCCAGCCTGCTGGGGCGCAGGGGCACCCAGAAAAGCTGCTGTGTGCCAGTTAAGAGGACGCACCTGGCGAGAAGTGGCCCTGTCCTGCTGCCCTTGAGCCTAGAGCAGGGCCGTCCCGTGAGCAGGGGACGAGGCCAAGCAGAAGCCAGAGTGGTGCGCGCGGCAGAGACCTTGGCGGGACCGGGTCTTCGACAACGTCGCCCAGCTGCCCCGTGACTGACTCACTGTCAGCCAGCAGCTGCTGTCCCTGCAGGGAGCCTCTGGAGCCGCAGGGCCTGCGTCCCGGTCCCTGCACAGCGAAGCCACCCCGCCCTGGCCAGGAGGGCCCCCACTTCTAACCCCAGGTTGGAGGCCTCTTGACAAGCAGCACTCTCCAACTGTAGGTCCTGCCACAGCCACGCTGCCGAGCCCAGGACAGGCCTCACACGGGCCCTGGGGGCGGTGGGCGCAGGGAGGCCTGGCTGCACACTCAGGCTCACCCTCGCTGGCCACGTCCAGCCAGCCTGGACCTGGACACAGACACTGGACCCGGACGGCCTGCTTCCCACCCTCCGGGGCCTGGCTGTGCACGGCCTTGTGGCGTCTCCAGCCACCGTCCCCCGCCCTCCGCCCCCAATTTCCACATTCCGGGCTGTGGAGCCAGCGGCCACCGTGATACTCACCCTGTTCTTGAGACTGCTTGCGGCCTCCCTCTGTGAGAAGGACGGAAATCGGTCCCGCGAAGGGGGCTTCAGGCCGAGCTGTCCCTGGACGCTGCTCGGGGGAGGACAAGGGGCGTGAGGCCCGAGGAGCTCGGGGCCCCAAAGCCGCACCTTTCACACAACATCCGCAGTCCAATCCCAGAGCCACGGAGAGACACCTCAAAGTGGACCCTCACCCCATCCACAGGGACTCCCACTCTACGACTGTCTCTCGAGGGATGGGAGCCCCAGACACGAGGGGAAGGCAGGACTCACTTCTCTGACCCACAGGGTAACCTCCCTGCACCCAGAGCTCCAGCCGCAGACACGGAGAAGGGCCTGCAACTGCCCCCGCTGGCCATCACCCATGGGCCCTCGGCGTGCAGGAGAGCAAGACAGGCGGGGTCATCCGCTAGTGGACACCCAGCCAGGGGTCTACTGTGAACAACAGTCTCCACCACCTTCCCCGCATTTAGTTTCTGTTCAGAAATGTCCGTGACAGTCAGTCAGCTGCCCTCGGAGGCCGCCAAGCCACAGGACGTGTGCCGTGGGTCAGGGAGGGCTCGTCCTTGGCCAGCACACCCCGCCGGCCCTGGGGGTCCCTGAGGCTGCACAATGGCTCAAGCAACCATGGCCCCAGCCACTGGGCTTCCCTCCCACCCCGCTGGCCCTGCATGCCCGCTAACCTACTGCCCTGAGTCCACAGTCCCTGCGGAGGGCTGGTTCCACACTCGCACAAGTTCCCTGCCCTGGGCCACTGACACCAGGCTGGGGCCACCTGGGTACCCCCTCCCCTTAGTCCCAGAGGCGCAGCCATGCTGGCCCCACCTGGCCTCCTCCTCGCTGAGGCTCAGCAGGTCCTGTGACGTCTCAGTGGTGGCGTCCATGGTGCTCAGTGCATATGACAGCTCGGGCTGGCCGTTCCCCGTGTCCTCCTGGCTGGGGGCTGTGACCTCCTCTCCCTCTATCAACGCTCGGGACACCTCCTCCTCTGTCACAGCTTTGGGGTCGGGAGAGGGACAAAAACACCAGTGGCCTCACTGAACTGTGGCCCTGTCACCCCTTCAGTGTTCAGCACAGACTGCTTCAAAGAAGAGGTGTCTGTCTGTGCACCTGATGGCCAGCTCCCTCAGAACAGAGCCAGGTCCCAACACGGTTGCATCTCCGCCGTGGCAGGTGCCAGTAACTGCTTGTAAAGCTAAATTCCAGCATTTGCCAAAAGCCATGGGGGACCCTGCCCCAAATTAAGACAAATTTTAAAAAGGAACAAAATACACTGTGTTTCTTCTATTTCATTCACATACGGCAATTTCCCTGAAGTTTGTTTATATTAAAACTGTTCATCTGGGAGAAAATCACTGTGTAAATAAAACAAAGATCAGGAACCAGCACAGAGAACGTCAGCGGGCGAACCAGAAAAAAGCACAGTCCTCGGAAACGGGCTGGAACCCCCCCGAGGAGGGAGCGCGGATGGCCCACACATTGGCCAGCTACGTGCCGTGAATGACGGAGGAGACGCAGGTGAAAACGGCAGGGAGGCGGCATCTCCACCAGGACGGCAACCCCGAGGCGGAGGGCGAGGGGCGCTGGGCACCGCCACCCCTGGGCCCTGGGGACTGGCAGTGACACGCCCCGGGCTGTGTGGATGAGTGTCGAGCAGAGGGGGCGTGTGGAAAGGAGGCACCGCAGCTCAGCGCCTCCAGGGCGGGGCAGAGAGACGCCCCGGCCGGCGGCTGAGGCCCCCCACCCCAGCCCAGGCCACGCCAGGCGCCTGCCAGGGGACACGTACCCTGGTTGTCGAGCTTCTGCAGCTGGGGCAGGGTGCGCAGCACGGTCATGCGGTAGCGGTGGGGACAGGCGCCGCAGCACGGGTTCCCCGCCAGCCAGAGCACGCGCAGGCGCGGCAGGCCCTTCAGGTGGGAGAGCTCGGCCAGGCTGGCGATGCGGTTCCCGCGCAGGTACAGCTCGCTCAGCTGCCGGCAGCGGC